TAATTCCTAATTCCGTAAGTTATTTCATAACTTTTTCTTCCATCCACCGGCGAATATTGACAATGGGCAATCATTATTACTACCGGATCACAGGAAGAACTACTTGAACCCCTGCATCAAAAAATAAATGCTCTGGAGTCCTTAATAAGCTGCAACCAGGTGCGCATGCCCCAGGAGTCTATACTCTACTCTTGCGTAGCTTCCCCTCTCATTTCATGCGGTTTTACAGGCAAGACAAGCGGACTCTAGCCAGAGCCTCACAGTTTATAATGTGGTATGTTACTTACTATCTTCATCGCAAAAATTGGTCAAGATCGCTCATGAGGAATCTGGTTACCACTGATCACAGGAAGCACTTCTAGAGCCGCTGCATCAAAAGATCAACGCTCTGGAGTCTTCAAGCAACCGCAACCAGGTGCGCATGAATTTTTGGCTTCTGCTCCGGTCTCGTTCTCACCTATTATAGCTCTTCAGGTAACACCCAATCAGTCTATTCAGAGCCTCGTGATACCTAATTCCGTAAGTCATTTCATAACTTCCTCTCCCATCCACCGGCGAATATTGACAATGGACAATCATTATTAATACCGGATCGCAGGAAGAACTCCTTGAACCACTGCATCAAAAAATGAACGCTCTGGAGTCCTTGATAAGCTGCAACCAGGTGCGCATGCCCAGGATTCTACTCAACCATTGTGTAGCTTCCCTTCTCATTCATGCGATTTTACAGGCAAGACAAGCGGAGTCTAGCCAGAGTCTCACAGTTTATAATGTGGTATGTCACTTACTATCTTCATCGCAAAAACGGTCCACATTGCTCATGAGGAATCTCTTTACTACTGATTACAGGAAGCGCTTCTGGAACCGCTGCATCAAAAGATCAACGCTCTGGAGTCTTCAAGCAACCGCAACCAGGTGCGCATCCATACTTAAATTCTGCTCCGGTCTCGTGCTGACCTAATGCCGCTCGACTTGTAACACCCAATCAGTCCATTCAGAGCCTCGTAATTCCTAATTCCGTAAGTCATTTCATAACTTCTTCTTCCATCCACTGGCGAATATTGACAATGGGCAATCATGATTAATACCGGATCGCAGGAAGAACTACTTGAACCCCTGCATCAAAAAATAAATGCTCTGGAGTCCTTAATAAGCTGCAACCAGGTGCGCATGCCCCAGGAGTCTATACTCAACTCTTGCGTAGCTTCCCTTCTCATTCATGCGATTCCACAGGCACGACAAGCGGACTCTAGCCAGAGCCTCACAGTTTATAATGTGGTATGTTACTTACTGTCTTAAATTTGGTCAACATCGCTAATGAGAAATCTTCTTACCACTGAATCACAGGAAGCGCTTCTTGAACCACTGCATCACAAGATCAGCTCGCTGGAGTCTTCAAGCAACCGCAACCAGGTGCGCCCCCATACTTAGCTTTTGCCCGGTTAGCTTTCTTCTAATCTGATGTGGAATCACAGGACACACCAACTCAGTCTATTCAGAGCCTCGTAGTTTCTAATTCCGTGAGTTATTTCATAACTTCTTCCTCCATACACCGGTGAATATTGACAATGGACAACCATTATTAATACCGGATCGCAGGAAGAACTCCTTGAACCACTGCGTCAAAAAATAAATGCTCTGGAGTCCTTGATAAGCTGCAACCAGGTGCGCATGCCCCAGGATTCTACTCAACTATTGTGTAGCTTCCCTTCTTATTCATGCGATTTCACAGGCAAGACAAGCGGACTCTAGCCAGAGTCTCACAGTTTATAATGTGGTATGTCACTTACTATCTTCATCACGAAAATTGGTCAACATTGCTCATGAGGAATCTCTTTACTTCTGATTACAGCAAGCACTTCTAGAACCGCTGCACCAAAAGATCAACGCTTTGGAGTCTTCAAGCAACCGCGACCAGGTGCGCACCCATACTTAGCTTTTGCCCGGTTAGCTTTCTTCTAATCTGATGTGGAATCACAGGACACACCAACTCAGTCCGGTCAGAGCCTCGCAGCTTCTAATTCCGTAAGTTATTTCATAACTTCTTCTTGCACGTGTTTCTGAATTCTATATACTTCAGAATGCCACAATAGGAACCGGAGGCTCAATGCAACATAACAATACAGAGTATCGTCACTCCAACTCCTCAAGTGACTCCCCATCTGGTGACTTAGTGATGAGATCACCAACATCAGACTCCAGTACCGAAACATGCGTCCCCACAAATCAGCCCACGAGGCGCCAACCAGTATGTCTGACCTGATAGTATAGACATGAGCTCCAAGCTGATAGCATCTATATCTGAATAGCAACGAGACCCAGCCGACGAAATTGAAAGAATGTCTTCCCAATCAAACTTCTCCGCAAATGTGAGTCATCAATCCTTGTTGGATGTTACACAAGAATGCAATCTGAGTCACTCGATGATCCAACAAGCAGCGTCACGACCTATCCTCTACTTCACAAGCCTCAAGCAGCTCCACCCATAGCTCTACCATCAACATGGGATACACAGGAGGGATGCCTCCGCGTGAAATCAATTCTTTGGAAGGTGTCACACGGGTGAGCAATCAGATTTTTGCAGGTTTGTTTGGGAGCAGAAAACTGACCAATGGTGAATGTGCATACCTCTTTGTTTGAAGGTTGGAAGTCATAATGCAATGCAATCTCCAGATCAGTCTTCGTCAAGGAACAATAACCCATATCAAACTCCTGGATTTAGTTCTCGTCGGAAGCCAGCAGGCGCACCTCCAAGGCGAAAGAAATTTATCAAACCAGTGGACATCAATCGAGTTGAAACTAGGCCAAGCATTAGGCAAGAGAGAGCAAGTATGGATGTCGAGCTAAAGGATGATGATCAAAACTTGGTGAGTGACTCTAGTATACAGCACATCAAGTATGTCGAACTCAATCATCCTGCATTGGACGCAGTCGAGAGCTTTGCACCATCATTTCCGACGTTTGGCCAATGTGACCAGGAGCAAACTCTCCTTTCCAAAGTCTCCGACACAGGCCAATCTGGACGCACTACCTGTCCTTCCTAATGGATCTTTACCACTTGGTACAGCTGCCCCTTGCATCATAACCAAGGCACAAGTGTCCCAAACCTGGGATGATGATGAAGACACCCCGGAAAACTTCTCCGACTATTGCATTAGGAGATTGAGACAGTATGGTCTCCCATTTGTGGGGTTGAGCTCTGCATCCGAGCGTGAGGTTCCACAGTCTTCAGAATGGAACCGCCGAACTTTGTATTTTTGCATAGACACATTTCACCACCTCTCAACTGTTTGCAAGGAGTATGAGAATTTCTTTCGACCAGGCAAGGAGGAAAGTGATACCGCAAGGATGGAAGTGCTGCTTAGGACTCACTTTGATTATCGAATATCAAACAAACGATCGCACTCGAAAAAAGCTCATGCCATACCAGATCACCAACAATACAATCGCCGGAGGGGGCGGTGTACCCGAGTGCGTTCTTTGTACTACCCCTCTCCCTTCAACAAATGTCACCAGACTGAGCATTTCTTTGTACTTTAGTTGGCTCTGCGCCGGTTGGAGACTTGCGACGCCTTCCCTAGCCTCACGCCATACCGAGGATTGTTCGAGGATGAACGCTTATGCTCAAGTGATGAATCGGACGACGAAAATGTTCTTGAAGAAGATCGAGTCCGACACATTCCCATTTACCGTTCTCATTTAGGAACCGTGCTGGTTGAGCATGTCGATGAAATGTACAGGCAACTCCGGAATAACGAATGCCCGAAGAGATCTGGAAGGAAACCGGCAAAGCGTATAAGATCAAAAACAAAGCCGGCAGAAGACTCACCCAGGTGGCCAGTGGGTTTACCTTCAGATTGTGTGGACGAGTTATTCATGATGCGCATCGGACCGCAGGCAGTTCAAGCCCTCAAGTTGAGGGACCCAATCTTGAAAAATCTTCCTATGCATTGAACTGCTCAAACGTACAATGCATGTCATTTTACAATAAATCCAAAGCGTCGAGCTGAAAATGATGACTTGTCCCAAACTATGCAAACCCCTCAAAATCTATAGCTTTTCGCTTTCATTGGATTCTGCGTTGTAGGCGTCAAAAGTCATGATCTATCCAAAAATTTTACTGCCAATTCTTGATACTTTTGTAATTTCTCATTTTCATTTCAATTATCATTAAATCAAGAACTCCATTGCATGGCATCATTTCATGCTGTGACATCATTCATCGAAATTGTTTCTTACCACTATTTTCTACGTAGAAGATACTAATACTAAGATATATAACTCAGGTAACAGAAGTTATTCTCTCGTGCCTGCTTGAGCGTGTTTCATCTGAACAGAATTTATCCCAGTCTCATAGTATTCCATTCACAAAGTCATTGTTTACGGAAAAGACCCGGTATGCCATAGTGATACCACACGCTAGATAGGTTAACACTACATGTGGATTTGTATGATAATGGCTTTAACTGCGATTAAATTTATACCACTCCATTCCCTTTTACCCAACTTGCATCCTCCTCGGGAAAATGATGAATCCGTTGCATCATGTCATTGTCTTTCTGCTGTTTTGTTTTGTCTGTCTCAGTGGATGACTAGTTGACCCCCTCTCCTTGTCACTGTTTATAGCCTGTTTCTCCCCATGGCTATCGATTTGTAAATTCAGAGGAATTTATCTTTGTTGTATTAAGACATAGAATGCAAATAACTAGGTTGATACAAGATCGGTTGGAAAGGGGCCTTTGTCAGCATCTTGTGTCAATGGCGAATGTCCTTTGTTGTTTTCTTGTGCTTTTTCTGCTAATCCCTCATGACAATAATCCTTAATCTTTTCTATTCTTGTAAAGTGACTGATAACATATACATGGTCCTGGTTTGAGAGACGCATCTCCCCGACTATCAAAGTTTCTACTCCAATAACAATATCATTCCGCTGGTATGTGTCCTCTTTCTCCTTGGTCTGATCTGTATGCTCATGAAGATTATTCCGCACATATAGCCTCATGTTCCCACCTTTCCAGGCCCAGATATCGGACGACCTCTCTCCTGACGACGGTCTTCTTCCCGAGTTGCAAGCCTTGGCCATTCAAAATCGACCATCAATATTAACCTTAGCACAAGACAATGCGCCGGAGCGTGTCAGCTCCTTTGACGTGTGGATAGCAAGATGTCTCCATCACGATTTCTACTGTACTGCCTATGATCAACTTCTCGCTCGTCATATAGAGGAGTACAGATACTTAAATACTCAAGAGCTTGACAAATTATACGATGCAATCATCACCAAACAAGACGAGCTCAAGGATGTATATATCAGCCTCAGCGACGTGCAAAACGTGGTCCAATACGCGCGTATGCTGTTGCGCTCCCTTGATCCCGAGGTCAGCTGTCACCGTAGACTGTTCAAGAGGCAGCTCAAGCGCTCACGCAATAGATACAAGGAATTGAAGTACATCGCGGGATGTTATAACAAGCGTGTCGGTCGACTTTGGGCAGTCTTGTCTGAGGAGACGTGAGTTACACCTCCGATCATCTTCCTCGTACAAAGCGCTGACTTGTTTAATCCACCTTGTTTTTTGATTTTTGCCTTCTCAAAACAGCAAGCGCACCTGTGACTTCAGGGATGCTGAAGCTGGACGATCTTGAGGGTGGTCACGGGGACGTTGGAACTAAGGTGAACAGGATAACGTCACTTTATGTAGATTAGACTACCTGTAGACAAACCCGTATTTTCTTTTTGGATTCCATCGTTTTCATGCTTGCTATGCTCCACCATACATGATGTGGCGATTCATACATGTTATGCCATCTTTGTACCAGTGGATATGTGTTTTGTTCGTGAGCGAACGTTACAAAGTTTCCTTTTAGTCGATCAAGTTCTCAGTTATGGCTTTGTAATATATATATATATATATATAGTGATAGTGATTGATACACGATACTACACAACAATGATCTCAAACACTTGAACGAGAAAATATCAACTTTCAGGATTGAAAGTGGAATGAAAGGCATTTTTGAACTTGAAAATGATAAGCTACGGAGAAAACCTTTTAACGAAAGATCTTCGTTGTACGAAGATTCAAGAATTGTTCAAGCCAACGTACAAAAACCATTTTTGGTTCTCCTTCATATACTTTGTGTCAGTTTTATAACTCCGAGAGGAGGAATTGCTCGAATTTCATGTCCAAAAGTGATTTTCGAAGGTGAAGTTGAGGAGATACGGGAAAAAGTTAATAATGAAAAATGTCCACCCTACGAAGGAGCATATAACCTAACGTACAATCATCAATATCCCTTCATCTGCATAGACTTCGTGTACGTTTTGCACCTGAGAGGAAAGTGTGTTTCGACGTTGAAGATGACGAGTTATGAGACCAGCTTTGGTCGATCCAAAGCCATTTGATCGTAGTTCTTGCATCTTCTGAAGTTGCCATTGCCATCGCGTCATCAATTGCAAATCACCTACCTGAGCTTCGGTTTTCAAAAAGACCTCCTTGATTTCAAAATCCCACCGAAGAGATAAATCGGCAATCCTGGTCAATTCGTTGTGAAGGACGCCTTTAACAAGAGATACCTTGGCGCGTAATGAAGCAGAACTGAGTATATCATGTTGTAAGAATGGTTGAACTGATTCAGGGAGGATGTCCGACTGCGAAAGAGGTTCCAAGATGTTCCAGAGACGGTCAAAATGATAGAATAGGAAACCGTGATACATATATTTTGCAGGGTAAATTTTATTGACAGCAGAAGTTGCATGACAAGATGACAGGTCACAGATGGCAAAACGGATGGGAACCAAGTACATAATTATGTACATATAACTTATAAGTGGTTATTCAAGTCTATTGAAGTTTCAAGACGAAGCCTCTGTGGGTTTACGGGTCACGATAGAGTTATGGGGCTTCGCGGGGCTTTGTCCCATTTGAATTTTTCATGATTTACCCAACATACCGGTTATTTCAGAATCAGTTGTTCATCATTAATTAATTGAATTCCCACTTCATCAACTTGCCTTATCTAGTTACTTTGCATAAAAAAAACTTCGACTATCAATCAATGTGTGTGACCCCTGCTTTTGTTCAACTACCATCTCAACAACTTCTAACAACTTATTGACTAAAGCCTACCAAAGCGCCAAAATTACCGCCTATCAGTGAGTGATCATTCCATATTTCGCTAAATTTTCGGAAATATGCCGCAATTACTCATGCAGTTGTCTACAATTCCTTGGATCGTTCAGTAATCATCCCCGGTCTGCTCAGCTCCTTTCTGGATCGCTTCTAGTGTTCAATCTCATCGGGTCAACCATACTCGAACTGAATCTTGTACATCAAACGAGTCATCCACTATTGTCACACCACAACCATGTCGACGCTATATCCTTGCGATTCGCCTCTCAAGATTCAATGCTATCTGTATGACCTGGAAGAGGTTTTTGAAGTGGTAGACATATGGTTGAAGAGTACGCCCATGACATATCCCCTGCACTCAGCCCTAAAATCTGTCTGGAATATAGTTAACAATGAACTTCAGGGTATGTCAAGTGTTGTAGTTGCTTCTTTGCCCTTCCATTTTCATCCACCATAGGATCGTTGTGAGCCATGCTGATCAATTTTTATTTGTCCAAATAGCCATCAGAAATCACCTGTTACCATCCGGGCTCATCAGTACCTCAGCCCTGGACATGTATTCTCATTCGAACTATAAGGAAAGATCATACCCAGACCTGAATGGGACGATGGACCAAGACCTGCAACACGTCAAGAATCGCAATCGGAAGCGTGGATGGACACCTCATGAGGATGATCGTGCGATTGCCAGCATTCCTCGCCGCTCTCCGCGTCTGTCTAAATCCATCAAAAATCCCGTCGGCGTCACTAAAGTTGTATTTCAGTCTCCTCTTCGCATCTTCAAAACAAAAAGGCACAGGACGGCTTCGCCTCGAGACGTCTCTCCCTCTAGTCGAACCAACGAAAGTAAAGACCTGGAACATACGACAATGTCGTCAACGGTAGAGTCCGACCTTCCCAAGTCACATTCGCGAGTTATCTCAACCGAAATGGCTTCCGTGATTAAGGAGATCCACAGACTTGACGCTGTCCCTTCATCCATCCCGATCGGTTTAGCTTCAGACTACATAGCTTCGAAGATACAATTTCCTTGTCAATTTCCGCCCCCCACTGATTACGCCAAAGGCGCGCTATGGGAGCTTATTGATAGTGAATTCCTTAACGTGATGGGTGCTGATGTATTGGAGCGAGGCGACTTACGCCGCGGAAAATTTGGCACTCTAGGCATTGTAGAGTGGATTTTGGACGCACGCGAACATACCGGTTGGGACGAGATATGTGAGGACATGATTTCAGGAAAGCTGGAAACCTTGCGCGATAAGCTCGCCGAGGCGTTAGTCCAGTTCGAAAGTGTTTCTTCGCACACTCCTACATCAGACTTGCCTGCACATTCTACAACCACGTCGGTCGGGCGTGAATCATCTCCGACTTATCTGAAAGATCTACACAAGTGCCACTTCGGAAACAGCAAATCGAAGTGGATGGACACTGTTATGGTTAGTGACTTCTCGTCGTCAGATGAAGTTCAATCATCATCCCACCCTTCCAACAAGTTCCAACCCGATGGTAGCCCCATCAACCGCCTTCAAATAGACTCGACCGCATACACCAGTACAACCAGATTGCCTGCTGCACATCCAATGGCAAGAAGTCCAACTCCTCCTTCGGATGTCGAATCAGACAAAGCACAACCTCAAGCCCCTGCACCAACACCAAACCAAACGATCTCTAAATGTCAACTCGCTGAAATCCGAAAGTACAATACACTCCACACGGCCAGAGGCGCAACTCAATCAACTCCAGAAAGTCAAATAAAACCCCCAAACACGAGCTGCGCAACTCATAGACAACAACTTTTAATCGAAGGACCACGGTACCCAACTGACATGAATCAATCCATAGCATCAGGTGATGTCATGGTCTCCTTCCTTCGTCGAAAGATCCTGTTTAAACATAGCTCACATATCCATTTCTTTGATAGGTCAAACAATTACCTCATCCCACCATTTCAGAACCTGTTCTCAACCGCGACCGCTTGCCAAAGGTTCTCTGTGGGTACACAAAATCGACATATACCAAAGTATATCCGTCGAAAAGAACAACATGCAGTCAGCTGAACTCTTGGAGATCCATAAGGCCACACAGGTTTTATTGGAGAGTTTGATACGAGGGTCAACTACCAACTTTGACCCCGGCGAAGCACTGTCCCAGCCTGTTACGTTCAGCACCTCGGGACAACCCAGCATCTGACCGTGGTGCGAAAGACCAGAGAGTTGGTGTACTTCACTGCACTCCTCAAATCTATCATACTGACAACCTTTATCATACTTTAGATCGGGCACTTTTCACTCCTGGTCTGGAAACCCTTTGGTTCGATCCCAAGATATTCGATTTCGAAGCCATTGGCAATTCCGACCCTCCAGATTCACTCCCCACACATGAGCGTTATCTTTGGAACACACTTAAAATGTTTCATATGCCTAGTGCCACTTTAATTGAACGTGGAATGCACTACGTCTTGGCGTCACTTGTATTGATTGGATCTGATGCCGAGCAGCCGCGTTACTCTCCCGAACTTCCCGACATTTCGCCTCTATCTGCAGGAGCTCGTAGTGCTTATTCGTGCTGGCACCACTACAAGACCCTTTCATGTTGGAATAGTCACGACGTCATTACCTGAACATCGCTGTATTCCATTATCTTTCTCACGATTGATGTGCTTACCATCTTCCTTCACATCTCATCATTTGTAGACCATCTAGTGTTTCTCATCTGATCCTCTGATCAATGATCAGTGATCGCTATTTCTCATCGGATCAATCTACTTGTGTTCTCTTTCTACTAAGCTATTACATAAAGCTTACGTATCAAACTTTGTATATAGACTTCCTAGAGCCACACCAGGAAAGGGCTTTTCTCCTCACCCTTTCCGCATTTCACTCGTGTGCTCTAGGTAGGTCTATCTTTGTTTTCTTTTGTCTTTTTCTTATGTTTGTGTTGTCTCATGAAATACTAAGGCTATCACCCTTTCCGCATTTCACTCGTGTGCTCTAGTCCATCGCAACAGGTTATGAGACCCATTCTCTACCAACTGCTCTAAATTTTTTTCGAAAAACTCTATCTCGACTATTGCGCCGCTTTTCTCAAGGGTCCCTGGTTATCTTTTCAGATCTCCATTGTATTTAAACTTAAATCTCCAAATATTATATTCCATCAGAACCTTAAACCCATCTCTTCATCTCGTGTGATCACATCTCTCGTCGCTCAATCTGGATCTTCCTGTTCTGTACACTGTTGTCATCTACCCGCCAACATCCTCGAGCATTTATCCTCCAAATTATCCTCCGACTAGTTCAATTTTATATCCTAATCCAACAACACTTCCATTCATCGCATCTACATCTCCGGTCGTTATGGATTCGTCAACTAGCGGAGATGATCGTACCTCCACCAGGATGTCGGGTATCACTGCTTTGAAAGCACCCGGGCCTGATTCCAATTACCTGGATTGGGAGTTTGCCGTCGAACTCTATCTCATCGACGCTAAACTTACCTACGTGCTCCAAGAGGGCGATAAGAAAGCCAAGGTTGCTTCTTTCGACGCCGATAACGCGCGCGTTTGTTCCCTCATCAGTCGGGCTGTAGAAGACATCAACTATCAGTACATTAAACCTCATCGACGCGACGCATTTGCCATGTGGAAAGCTTTGAAGCTTGCACATGAAGACTCGACCTCAGGAGGCCGAATGCTCATCTTGAATGCGCTCATCACGTCGAAGATGTCCGATAGCGATTTAGATGCGCACTTACTCAACATGAACCGATTGTTGAGAAGCT